GAACAGGGACGGGGGTGGGGTGGGGGTGGGATGTCTTCGTGCCAAGGCGGCGGGCGCTGTTTTCTCGCCCTCTTCGGGATCCACCGACCGGCCGGCAGACAGGATTGGGCCCCCAGTGTTGACTAGGGGGCAGAGCACAAACGGTCCCCTTTTGCTGGCTCGCGTCCTCCTTTCTGGGAGAGGTGACCCATGGCGGACGGCCGAATCGATCGGCAGCCACGGCGCTGTGCTGTGCCGGTAGCGCAGTCTTCGGGCGCTGTTTTCTCGCCCTCTTCGGGATCCACCGACCGGCCGGCAGACAGGATTGGGCCCCCAGTGTTGACTAGGGGGCAGAGCACAAACGGTCCCCTTTTGCTGGCTCGCGTCCTCCTTTCTGGGAGAGGTGACCCATGGCGGACGGCCGAATCGATCGGCAGCCACGGCGCTGTGCTGTGCCGGTAGCGCAGTCTTCGGATATTTCAGCCGGCTTATTCAGACAGACTTTCGCTGCTGAAAATCAGACTTCCGAGGAAAGGAAGTGCTCATGCCTGGACGATCCGTCACAAACGAGGCAACCCAATTTAAAACACGGGGTTGTGGATCTTAATGTGTAACGCATTCCCTCCCTCCAAGACCGGATTGTTTGTAAAATAGACTGGGTGGATCCCCCGTCTCAGTCGGACTCTCCTTCTGCCTGGAGGGGGGGGAGAGATAATACGGCCCAACTAGCCTACAGTAAGGCGAGTTCTCTGCCCAGCAAGAGAAGGTGAAAGACAGGGGGGTGTTCAAAAGTTATCAGTAGCTGCTCCTCCAAGGGGCAAATGTCTTTTGCTTGCTCCTTCCTGCTGTCCAGGGTCCAAGTGCTTCTACTGCACTATTGCCCAGAAGGAGGAAATGTGCAATCAGGTGGACAATTGGACAGGAAGAGGCCAGGTGAGCAGTTGAGGACAACAGAAACTGTTTCCCCAGCTCTTCCTTTTGAGAAAAAGACAGACTCAGTTGTGTGGAGACAGAGCTCCTTCTGCTAAGTTCTCTTGCTTGCTTGCTTGCTTGCTTGCTTGCTTTAGCTCTCCCAGTAGATGAAGTATGCACAAAAATAAAAGCAAAAAGGAAGGAGGAAGCAGAAGCAACCCTGGTCCATTCTGCTCTCTTCTGGTTTCCCCTTGTTGGGCTTTGTTGCAAGCAGAGCTGTCACGAAAGGGTGACTACTGGTTCTTTTGTATCCCAAGAAGAACAATATTAAACAGCAAAGAACCTCACAAGACACATGTAAAATGAATATACTTTATTACCTTTTGATTACAATTCTAAATAAAGGGGTTTCATGCATTCAGCACATTCACACCACATACGTACTCACCAAAGAGAGAGAAGTCTTTATCTACATTGTCCAAGTTCCAAAGAAGGTAGTTGGTACCAAAAGCTTTTTGGTCTCAGCAGACAGATAGGCTAACCGGCAAAACAGACAGACTAATGTTTGCCCAGACCCTTCTTCTTATATTCTATTTGGACAGTTTTTTTCATAATAGAGCATGCGTAAAAGACATTTCTTTGTCTCAGGGTGCTCACAGGGCATACGTGGTAGAGATTCCTTTGCTTGCCCCTAGATACCTGGTCCTTATCACTTATTATGAAGTATGGAATGCTTTTGGTCTGACATGTCTTCCATCACTTAGTGGACAGGTATGGAATCTGAGCTTTGCTCAGGAGGCTCTCCGTACCAGGGTCTTCTTAATCCCCTTGACTCTACCCCCAGCGGCAGATGGTTTTTGTCAATTTAGTTCAGCAAAAGTTGAATCTCTCACAATGAGGGCTTCCAGCTGGAAATACAAAGTCCCATAGTTCCTCTGGTTCTGTTGGTCTCCATCTTTGTATCCTAACTCTCTCTTTGGTTCTTCACCTGATCCAGGCCAAACATACACTCACCTGACAGAGCCAGCCCTAGGATACACAGAAATGGGAAAGGTTACTTTTTTTTTGAAGGTTACAGCTTCTCCAGTCCCATAGCCTGCACAGCCAATGGCCTCAAAAGTAACCTTTCCCATCTCTGTAAATGCCTTTGATTCCATCCACCACCACCATGGCGAGGTTGAGTGAGCTGTGCAGAGTTGCAAATCCTAGTGGAATAAAGTTTTAATCCACTGACTTTTACTTAGACCAAATTACAGTCAACTGGAAATAGAAAAGGAACCATCCTTTAAAACTTATTGATGGAAATTTATATTATGGAACACAACCTGTAGAGCTCGGAGAAATAGGTTGAAGAAAGACACTCATTTTTTCTGAAGGCCAGTCTGAGCTCCTGGATAGACTGAATGCTGTGCAACAACGGGGGAGGGAGGGGGAGTCACAGTGCTCTGCAGATGGCAAGGTAGGGCACAAGCAATCCAGGCTGCCTTTGCCTGTTCTCCATGTGCTACAGACACAGGAGGACCAGCCACTTTGTCACCTCATTTGCTCACCAATATTTTCTCTCCAGGCAGAGCAGTGAACTGAAGTTTGCTGGAGCGGCTGCTGCCTCCAACCCCCACTGAGCGCTCTGCTTTCCTTAGCAGTCAGGACTAGGCAAGTGACCTCTGTCTCTAATTGTGCAGCAGCTCTGTTTTCCTCTTTAGCACTCTGTGGGCTTGTCCAACCCTGTATTTTGAAGAGAGATGAACCAGGGAGAGTCCGGCTTAACAAGCTCTGTCCTTCTCTCATGGCATGGCACAGAAGAGAAGGAGTGAGCAAGCAAAAGATGGCCTAGGATGGCCTGGATCCCCAGAGAGTGCAACGTACTTGGTATTTGCAGTTCATCCTCACAACAGCCCTGTGAAGTAGGTTAGGCCCAGAGAGGGTGACCAGCCCAAGGTCTCCAAGTGGATTTCATGATTGAGTGGAGAGATGAACCTGGACTTCCTGAATCCTCATTGGTTATTCTATCTGTTAATATCACCGTGGCCAAAATCCTCTGGTGTAGTTATGTAAATAGTATGTGTCTTGGAGGAAAATTACCGCAACTTAAGAAATAACTGTACTCACGACTTGGGGTTTAATCCTAGGTAGCCGGCTCAAGGTTGACTCAGCCTTCTATCCTTCCGAGGTCGGTAAAATGAGTACCCAGCTTGCTGGGGAGTCAATGTGTAGCCTGCATAATTAACTTGTAAACCACCCAGAGAGTGCTTAAAGCACTATGGGGCAGTATATAAGCAGCACGCTTTTGCTTTTAATTTGAGGCAATTCCCCACCATACATTATGTCACTTGTGTTGCACCATAATATTTAGATAAGAGGATTTGAGCTAATACCCATATTTCAGCTAAGCCAAGTAGAGGATTTTCCTTTTCTGTTATTTTACATTTGCTCTTTTTAATTTCACCAGCTATCTGCACATGTGTTTTCCGATTTTCTTGGAAACAGAAATAATGTCACGACTAATACCCCAGTCTCCCTCTTTTGGTCAAACTCAAGATGGACTATTTCTTGTACATCTTGTGGGATTGACTGAAGAAAGGTCAGTTTCCTTTCCTCCTGTTTCTTTTTGTGCACTTTCCTCTGAAGAAAGACTCTACTGAATAATACATTGAGTTGTGCTATATATAATGGTCTTATCTGTACAACATAATTAACTATTTACTACAGCTTGTATCTCTTTGCTGAGAGCCAACAAAAGTTAGGTTCACTTCTGCTTTAAAATACATATTTATTGTAGCAAAAATGCCAAACCAAGTTTCTGATTTCACAAAAGCTATAGTTATTACAATGTTTCTCCAGCTGCAACTTTAAATACAATTAATATGGTTGGATCCTATTGAACACAGTACAGTTTCTTTCTATCTGAGTAAACAGATGTCTGATTTGCTGTATGATTTCCTTTATGAGAAAATACCTGCAACATGTTTCACCCTCTTTTCCCCAAGTTGAATATTTATAGCAACATGCTAAAATTAAATACATCGATGGGATTTATTAAAACACAAC